ATCAACTTTAAATCAGCCAAAAAAATGAAAGCCTACCTAGATGAAAGTATAGACAGATTACCTGAACTATCTGAAACCAAAACAAACTCGAGAGAAAAACCTGACTGTAATGTTGAAGTGCCTGCGCCGAGTGAACCGGAAATGGCGAAGTTGTATCAAGAACTTAGTGAATGTCAGTCGAAGCCAGTCATACTCTCCCTAGTTTCTCCTTATGCTGAAAGCTACGTTCTTTCAAGCCGCAAAATACCCACAGTGATGGATCTCTTTGATGTAAAATATTTAAAGTTGCCTTATAATGAGTTAGTTAAAGTATGCCAAGACATCAAGATTGAAATTACGAAGGAACAAATCGACAGAGTCCAACAAGACACACTAAAACAAGCTAAAGGCAACAACTTCTTTAAACACAGAGCAGGGAGAATCGGGGCTTCCCAAAATAAAGCTGCTGCCTCTACGGACCMTTCACTTCCTGCACAGTCATTGATACAAGGAATTTGTTATCCAGAGCTTAACAAATTAACAAAAGAAGCAGTAGTTCATGGATGTAAACATGAAGCAGGGGCGATACATGCATATGAACAGCTCATGAAAACTAAGCACGTGAACTACAAAGTCTTAAGTTGTGGTACATTCATAAATGAGGATTATCCCTGGTTGCATGCAACCCCTGACTTATGCTCTTGTGATTGCTGCGGAGAAGGGTGTGGTGAAGTTAAGTGCCCCCTCTGCATTGAGAACTTTGATTTTGATACTTATGTTAAACAGCCATCCTCATGTCTAAAGAAGAACAAAAACAATCAATTTGAATTAATAAAARAACACCAATACTATTACCAGGTACAGCAACAGTTATTCACAACAAAGTTGAAGTACTGTGATTTTGTTGTCTGTGCTGTTGGACACAATAATGAGATGGCACTTGTAGGTCAAAGAATTACTCYAGACATAGAACATTGGAATGAAGTTCTGCCAAAACTTGAAACATTCTGGAGGGTTGGTGTGCTACCAGAAGTACTGGGTAGATGGTACACAAGGCGGAGGAATGTTCACAACTTGGCACAGAAGGATGCTGTTTGTTACTGCAGACAGATGACTGAGGAAGAAGTTGTTCATTGTTCAAACCCTGACTGTGTAATCCGTCAATTCCATCTGTCATGTCTGGGAGTCAGTGGCATTCCWAAAACTTGGTACTGCCCTAATTGCAGAACATTACCACAGTTCAAGAGAGGAGGTAAAAAACAATCATTAAATAATGAGGCTTTGAAGCTCAAGTGCATTTGCGTATGCAAGGCTACTCCAAACAGCCAAGACAAGCTTGTGAAATGTGCAAATGAAAGCTGTAGCAATGGCAGATTTTTTCATCTGACATGCCTTGGGCGAAAGCGAATGCCAAATAACAGTAACAGTTGGCTGTGGCCAGTGTGTTCTGTAAGTAATGTGAATGCTAGATCCTCTGTTGACCCTAATTCTAGCGCCTCTGTTAACACTAATGCTACAGGCTCTGTTAACCCTAATTCTAGCGCCTCTGTTAATCCTAATGCTACATCAAACGTTACATGTACTGGAAGCTACAGTCCTTCAGGAGTTCAGTATGTAAAAACTGTCCACCATGTTAACAAGCAACCCCGTGACAAGCATGCACCTGTTGGAAAACTTGGTAATTATGAATATGGACTAATCGCTTCTCCAAGTGGATGGTTAGACTGTGTTATTATACATGAGGCTCATATATTATTAAGAAAAATAAGCAATGGAATTGAAGGATTTCAAAGACCAACTCTTGGACCAGTAAGACAATTTGATATAATGTCTGGACCTTTTATTCAGATAGTTCACATTAACAATAATCATTGGGTGTGCATGACATCCATAGGCAGTTTTCCTGGTTATGTTAATCTTTTAAACAGTTTATCGTCTCCTATAACACAAGAAATACTAGATCTGGCTGAAAATTTAACAGGACCAATGTTCAGAGGTGTAACCCAGGTACCCGTTCAACAACAACAGAATGGCAGTGATTGYGGTGTCTTCTCAATTGCCTATGCAACAAGTCTAGTTCATGGACAAAATCCAGAACATGTAAATTATGATATTCCTAAGATGCGCCTGCACTTATTACACTGCCTAAAAAGTGGACAGATGTCCCCTTTTCCTACCACTTGAACTTCTTTGCATGTTGATAAATGAAGGAAAAGCTTAATTTCACCAATATCTYTTTTTTTATCACTCTTACTAAATAATTTTGTTATTAGCTTTCAATTATTAATTTGAACTGATTCATTCTAAAAAAACTTATTTTGAATCTTGAATTCAAAAATGTAAATATTGATACATACATATAATAATTAATAAAAATAAGTAAACAGATGTTGCTTGATTGAGGGAAAGATAATAAAATAATGACTCTAGGAGCTATAAATAAATATATTACATATTTCACCTTATATATTTCATGCGAAAGTCCATTTGTTATAGAGTACAGACACTAAACGTGTGCAATACTTMGTACTATTCAGTGCTAAATAGCACCAATTAATAATATAAAAACAAAAGGATTAGCATAATTCAGCACTATTTACTGCTATTTATGTTGCACACTGTTAGTGTTTGTACTCTACTAAATTTCATATTTTTCTCRAAGGAATAATATAGGAAACACTAATTTTTAGATAAAGTGCAGCATTTAAAAACCTTTATACAGGAATTTGACTATCTTCTTTGTTGTAATTTTGAAAGAGACAATCGTATGGTACAGTTCCTAGAAGTGTATAAACTACAATCAATCGAATGGTACAATTCCTGGACAAAGGTTTGTCAATGCAGAACAGACTGTTATTATTCTGTCGATCATTGGTTTCTTACCCTCTTCAGATCTGTTTGGGTCAGATTTCAAAAAGTCTATAGGTAGTATTCCAGAAAGAATCAAGTATTTTCGCCTCAAAAGCCCTATCACTCTTTCAACGTGGATTCGGACATTAGCTATGCCCCGTGTTCTCTCGACATCCTCAGGGTCCAACTGGTCTTTACCCTTTGTAAAGGCAGGCATTGCAAGTTCTGCCCTTTGGCACATTAAGGATTCTTGGATAGTGAACCCCCTGTCTGCCAGAACAAGGTCACCAGGTAACAATTTTTTTAAGATGCCACAGTGTTCAGTAATGTACTTGTCAGATGTCCTGCCACCCCATGCCTCTGAAACAAAGGAGATGCTTCCTTGGGGGCTTACACCAATTAGTATTTTCACTGTGTTGTGGCTTTTATARTTAGAGTATGTCTGTGCTCTTGCCATTAGATTARAAGGTCTATTTATAAAAACCTCAAAACAATCAATAATTACTGTGGTTCTGTTTCCAAATGCAAAGTGAAAACACTGAGGCMTAGTACGCCRCAATTCTTCACGCTCAGGCCACTTTATTAATGGAGCAAGTCTTATGTCTAAGGCTGTCATCCACGCTAAAAATATTCTGGATACCGTAGCTTGAGATATGTCAAATTGGTAAGCTAAATCTTGCATTGGCATGTTCCATTTTAGCTTCATGAGAGTAAGTACTAACTCTTGAAATGAAGACAAAGTAGGTGATCGCCTCGGAACATGTGGTGAAACATGCTGATAAACGACTTTTAATATACCAAAAGTCGGCAATCCAGTGTAGAATCTCACCTTTCCATCGTCATTAACAAATTCGCTCTGATCATAACGTGCGGCTTTGTTGTTTGAGTTATGAAATAAAAAATCAAACTCCTCAGTTTGTGTCTCAGCCTCGATGGTTCTCGATTGTGAATCTGTTTTAAATGRCATATCTTTTATCTTCTTCTGTCTTTTAGCTTCTCTCTCAGCCTCACGTTGGAGTTCTTYTTCTTTTGCAAGTTCTCTCTTCGCTTCTAAGCCCCTTGCTCTCTTCTCACGTTTATCGGCTGTTTCTAAATTTGAGAGATACTTTTCCCCCGAAGCACGTTTATTATGGCCCAAATCCAATGACGGTATCCAGTCTGGGTGATTTCTTTGCATTAGAGGAGCTGGTTGTCCCGAAACAAAATGCTTTCCACAAACGCGACCACTTTCCAAAATGGCGTCGGTAAGGTCTTCTCTACTAATCGCCGAAATCCACGAATTTCGACGTTMCTCAGACAATTTTTTCACTTCTTCGCCTTGGTTTGTGATAATGGAAGGTATCCTTGCCATATGAATACCTTTATCTCGCCCACTTCGGGTCCCACAACCGACTATCGCGCATAAAACCATTTTCTTAACCTCTTCGCTTTGTAATTTATTTGTATTACATGTGCACCAATATGGCGGCCGATTAATGAATAGGTCACGTGACTGAATACGATCTATATTATAACAAATACACTACGAATCCCTTGGGAATCAGACTGAAGTTAATGAGCTATTGGGCTGCGTGTAATTTTGCTGAGTTGTTAGAGTGGACTACACATGAATGGACAAACTACACTAGTATGAGTGTACTCCGTTAACGGAGTGCACCCATGTTACACACGTGTTACCGTGACATACATCTGGGCTGTAATGTAGCACTTCTTTCTTTCTGTGTGGTTATTTTTTTAAAATTTAGCCTATTTAAAGGATTTTTTGTCCCCATCAGTAAGAAATGAGAGAAGGTTGGTGACTGGGGATCCCAACAGCGAACCATCACGAGTCATTGAAACATTAAGCATGCATGAAGGATTTGATTCCTAAATTTTCTAATTTTCTCAACTGATCTCGCATCAAGGAAATAAAAGGCTGGATGACGAGGATTTTACACTTTGTGGTCTTGGATAAGACAATCTCTTGTGATTTTGATTCAAAATCCACGTCATTTTTACACTGGAATGCTTCAAAAGCAAACGGGAATAACTGATAGACAGTGGACTTGTTTCGAACATGTGTCATGTAAATTTAAGCTTACTCAAATGCGTTGTGCCGCATAAGAAAACTGTTTAAGAAAACTGTTTCTTGCTGCTTTCATGACATTGTTCATGGATTCTGAACAGTTTGTGTAGCACCTTGTGGGTTTTCCTTTCTTTCCATCATCATCATTTTCTTCTGACTTTATCGACCATGTCATCCTTCATAATTTTTCGGTTATTATTCAAGTAAGACCAGTACTTGGGTGAGTAGTAGTCTTTTCCAAGGATCTGAATTTCTTGTCTTTCCAAATCCTCATTTGTTGACTCAAAACGCTTGCGCAAGTCATTCCCGTCTGTCACATCAAAARTGCCTTCAACTTTCCAACGTCTTATCCAAAAAGTACTTTTGGTCTTTTACACTCCTAACAATCAATTGCCTTAATTTATCCTTGCAGTTACCTTTGAAGTGCATAAAACATCGCAGACTCTGTCATTGCTTTAATTTCCCTTCGAGTGCCTGCTGAAGGGCTGTCTCCCCATCAGTGATGAAATCTTTGCCATTTTCCAAGCCGCTGCATTTTGTCAAACAGGTTGCTGCGATCGTTTGGTAAAAAGCAGCTGATTTATTGTGGTGGATCATAGTTGGACCCAAGAAAATTGGACKTTCTCCGGTCCGCTTAGATTTGAGAAGAACATTWTTGAAGACCACAGGGAGTCATTTCAAATTTACCTAAACTGAAAGTGGGATTGATACTGAAAGGATGGCTTAACATGTCCGAAGTGGTACACCTCACAAATTCACGGCACATAGCAGTTGTTCCAAGTACCCACAGATCTTCTGGATAGTCCAAGTGGTGAAGTACAAGATCCTCCTTATCACAGGCATACTTCAAAAGATCATCAACACCATCACAGCCATCTTGTTTGCGCTTTTGATTTAGAATTGTAAATTTGATGTTTCCCGCGAGGTAGGTTGGCCACAGAAGCTGCACCACAAACTCCTCCCACATTTTTTCTTAGACTTTCATACACTCCCCTGGATGGGGTTGGTTTGAACATTTTCTTAGATGGAACGCAATGAGCTCTTTTTCATAGGGTAAAAAGGAGTTGGATTATATTTTCTTCAATTTCCATGTTGCTGCACTTTCACTTCCACCTTCTGTAAGTCATTAAGGACATGGTACTGCAAGAGGGAAACATCCCCAACGAATTTTCCATTATGATCTTTCGGAAGGAAAATTGAGCATACAAGAGAAGGTGCAGCCTTGCTTTTCTTTGAATTGATGATGAAATGGTACATTGACGGTAACTAGGAAAGTGTGATTTTTTTGGGCTAGTGCAGTAACTAAAAAATCAAAGTCTTTAAAACAGCAGATAGTGTAGAATTTTTAAATATCCTAATGAATGGGGGAATAGGTTGAGTATTGCCTTGCAAGGGTTTCTTGGATTGTTACTGGATACATGTGTGTTAAAAAAGTTACAAAAGTTAATAGGATGGCTAGCATTTTTCAACCAATTTTTTTTTCACTGAATGAAGGGGATATTCCAGAACAAAGTTACTAAAAACCTATTAAGGAATGTACAGTACAGGCCAGAAGTTTTTCAGGGTCCTGACACACAGGAAATGGACAGGCTCGTTTGGACCCTGCTCGTACGCATGGAATATTCTTTTGTTATACAGTTTTTTTGTTCTGGATAACAAACCATAAAAACCTACATGTAGCTAAATCAGAGAGGTCAAAGTACCGTAAATGTTATGGGCAATCATGAATAGTATTCTCATTATAGCTTGTCATGAAACACTAGCCAATTTCTAGCAGAATTTCTGATTTTAATGAACGAAGGTAAACTACGATTACAAATTTGACTTTTGTTTTACAAATTCTATTTGATTTAAGAAATACTTCAAATGATCCTTTTCAGCTTAGTAGATTTTGATTTGAGCGTTTGCCTTTCTCACGCATGGAATAGGAGTGACTTTCTTCATACCACTTTGATTTAAATAAGTTTGTGTGCACCATTCTATTCCAAATCGTGTCTCATGTAAAAAGAAACATTTGCATTCACGCAATATAAAAACACAAACTCAAGTTGAAAAATATTTAATGTCTCAATTACTTTAAATTACAATTTTACAATTTAAGGGAACGCTTTCCAGGTCAAAAAAGAAATTCGTCCATGTCCTTTCTATAACTCGCCCAAACGGCATCTTGTTCTGATGGCGGAGTCGGATACAATTCAAATACATATTTTCTAATGAGACTTATTCTGATAGGATCTACTTGACCTTTGTTCTGATGGCGGAGTCGGATACAATTCAAATACATATTTTCTAATGAGACTTATTCTGATAGGATCTACTTGACCTTTGTCGCGAACACCAGAAATATTTCTACCTTGTGGTTCTTCCTCTTTAAAAAGTGTTCGTAAGCCTTGAACAGAAAAATTCTTAAGGGAACTAGATTTCAATTTTAGTTGTTGAAGTTTAGTAAAAGAAGTAGTATTATTCGTAACGGGTTGAGTCGGACTAGACTTTGCTCAATCAGATAAACTAACATCAGAGGCCAGCGCATTCAAAAACGAGGTATTTATCATTGGAAAACTGCTTACTTCATTCATTTCTTGATATAGTAGAATTGGCGGTAATTGATSTAACACGGCACAGGAACAATTTTTTTGTGAAGTTAAAATTTGTATTATTTGCTGTTGTTGTTGTAAAAGTAAATTCCGATTATATAAAACCTGCTCTCTTAAAGTATCAACTTCATTTTTCAGAGGTTCAAAACCATCGTTACCGTTACTCTGTGTGTTCTTCGGCAAGTTGTCAGGTTGAGACTGGTCAAAGGGATTGTTGTTCWGTGTTCTTTTACAAGTTGTCAGGCTTAGACTGGTCAACGGGGTTGTTGTTTTGTGTGTTGCATKTAAAAAGAAATTAAAGTGCATATCAGGGTTAACAGTTTCTCTTTTCATGCGAAAGTTCTAATCCTTAAAATCATATAATCAACAAAAAATATTTGTTTTTGTACGATTTTATTTATTTTCTAACTAGATTATAATAAACATGGCGGACTTCAGTGAAGAAATGTTCGAGCACGTAGTGACTGGAATCACTAGTGAACTTAAAATTGAACTAAAACCCCAACAGAAAGATGCTGTGAAACAGCTAGTTTTTGGTGACGACTTGTTAGTTGTTGGCATGATATTTCAAATCCTYGTCAAAGTGAGCACAATGATGAGAAAGACTCCTTCATGAGTTATTGTAATTTGTTCATTGAAAAGCATCATGCAGGACCAGATTCTTGAAACAGAATCCATCGGAATGCTGGCAGGACTACTCTCTCATTAAGAAAATAACCTACCAACGTCCAAGCAATTTAGTCGCAAGTTGGATAGTGGAGTCTGCGACGGCGTCCGTGGTCTTACTTGCAAGGGCGGCCTCGTACCTCTTATGGAACTTCTTAACCTCCTCTTCCGACAACTTATTAACCTTCTCATGCGTAAGTTCCTTGCCTATCATTTCTGTGCACTTCCCAGAAGACACCAGGATGTTAAGTTGTTCCTTAAGGTTACTTTCATCTAACTGTGTGGGGACTTCATCTATCAGCTGCTCAATCTCCATATATATCTACGCTCGAAGCTCGCGTAGCGAGATTTGGACATCATACGGAAACCTCAAAGAGAAGATCATCTTGGAATATTGGTGCGTTTTTAAATGCCGCATGTATTCGTGTAACTGTTCCTTGGATATTTCACCACCATAGTCGCTTAAAATGGTTTCCATATCAGACTTGCTTGGAGTATAAAATACAAGTGAACCTATGTTTTCCCTAAAGGGCTTAGAGACGCTGGTAAGCTGCTGGGAGAGCAACCAAACGCTAATATTGTCATGTCTCCCGCTGAAAGCGAGCTTCACTAATTCGGAGGTGCGTCTTTTTACGTCGTCCCCACAGGCAATGTCATCCAGTATGAGGAGGGTTTGCGTACTCGCTCGTCGAGCCTCGCGAGACGAGAATTGTTTGTGCCAGAACTTAAGATTTCCAGATAACTCGTTAGGGTCTAAGATATCTACGAAGAAGTCGTCATCTTTCACTCCTATGCCCCTCCAGGTGCGGTTATTCACGTAGGTGGGGCAGAGCAGCACTATGTAGTCGAAGCGGTATCTAAAGGGTCCTAATAGCTGCTCTACCACGAACTGGGTCTTTCTGCAGCCGGTGGGTCCTACTATCAGAGCGTTACAAGAATATGGTTCGGATCCATTGTATATATGGAGGCAGTGGAAGCAGTAAAAAAGATGGTTAACATCGCCAAAAGAAAGTCAGACCTGGAGAGGACGGTCGAAATGCAAAGGGAGGAGATAGACCGGCTGAATGAACGCGTAAAGGAGCTTTA